GGGGGGGGTCATACCAGAATGAGCTATTTGCATGGTGGCGCTATCTGATATAAGAGATTCTAGGTCGCATTCGCCTGATCAACCTGTAGCTGATTAACCAGTATGATAACTAGCACAGGGTGAAGCTCTGTAAGTGCCCGGTGCAGAGCGGCATGAAACCTACTCAACAGTCCATGATAAAGTACGTTAAGGGTCGAGTCTTGTCGGATCGCTGAGATTAGCGACCCATATAAAACAAAGATGGCTTTGACTGATGCACTGACCATTGACCAGGTTGAACTCCCTCTCGAGAACCACTTGAAGTTGGTGAAATGTAGAACATAAGCCCTTTATAATTCGACGAATAATAAGCAGGGATAAAAGGGTGGAATTTTGAATGCAAATATGCTCACATGTCGCTTACTCAATGATAATTGTATGTCGTTACTAGATCTTCAGGGTCAAATCCTCTACGTTCACAGCCTTTTGACATAATGTAAGTCGTCTGATCGACGCTCATATGTCCTCCTGTACCACATTTAAAACTCATGTGCTGCTGTGAAGGATTTATGCTCAGCCAAGTTATGTGACCTGTTTAAATTTGCGACTTGCAAACTAAGGGCTCAAGCTGCGGAAGAACTACATGACAAATTTGATTGATATGTCCAAACATTATTGTCATAAATTATGTATTTCAATTTCAATGATTATTGCTAGAGTTCAGCTCTGATACCCCATACTTTACGCGAAAATATTTTAGACAAGGCGTGACGATAAGAATCCCAGCTGAGTTCGAAAACCGCTGAGGGTTTCGGGAAGCCATGTGATCGCAACGGAGGTCGTCAAGTCACGTTAAAACGTCATCGGAAGTCGCCGTATATACTCAGCATACAGGAGGTGACAATCGGACGTCCCCATTCAAGACCTCACGTGTACAAGCGATGCCAGACGGTTAGCAACAGCCGACCGACAGATCTAGTTAAATCGCTGAATAATGATCGGACAGAAAGCGATTAATTCGACCACCACCGGCTTTGCTTTGTAAACAGGGACCGCGAATATGAAAAATCCAATCAGCCGATTGTCCGTCGCCAGCTCCGGCGCCGGTGGCCGCGTCGACAGACGATCCTTGCATGAGCTGCGGACTAGGAGAGCGACTTTTTCCGCCATGGACATAACGCACAAACTGGTGACCGCCAAGTCCGGATGGCGAAAGGTAGGTTTGGCGTCGTTTGGCGTCTGTGACGGCGATGCTCATCGACCAACGTGCATCGTCGTTTGCCTCTTTTCAGTACTTCTATTTGGCCGTACCTCACGTGAGCCTCATCATCGTGTCCGTTCTGTACATCGTTGCCGGCGCAGCGGTGTTCATGAAGCTCGAGGAACCGCAAGCCAGGCAACTTCAGTCGCAGAAGGTGGCGCAGATCACCGCCGATCGAGCGAGTCTCATGTCCCGTCTTTGGCAGCTGGCCGAGGATCGTCGTCCGATCGACGAAGGTCGCCAAGAGTTCCAGAAGTTCGCGCAAAGCATGTACCTGGTGCACAAGACCAGCAAGTGGCGTATACGAGACCTGGAGATGTATTCCCTGAACGGCGGCTCGTCCGAGTTGGACATGGTCGACGAGTGGAACTTCTCCGCCGCCGTCATCTTCGTTCTCACCACCTTGACTACCATAGGTAAGTTTCAATCGACCGGCCTGCGGCGAGAAACACGACCATTAATGCAACGGTGAACTTTGCTTGGTTTTAATCAGGGAACCATGTTTTACGGTCAACTGTCCTAATCTGGATGGTTCTTCATTTAAGCTTTGTTACCTTTAGAAAGCGATGACAAAAAAAAACAAAAAATTTCATTATTACTTTTTATCATAACTCAAATAGCTGCTTCGAGAAGAGGTTGATGCAGCTCATTTGTTGCCTTAATCGCTTTTAGCCATTGCACTGAGAACTTAGCCTGACTTTTAAGCTTTTCAATCTGGCGTCGGTTTCTGTGACCTTTAGGAAAACGTTATCCCCCAAAACTAGGTTTGCCTGATCCTCTCTTTGATGTGATACATTTCTCGTTGTATTACGTCCGGCGTGTTCCGACAACCATTTGTAAACTTTGAACGCACGCAATTTCATTTGCATTTCCTCAAAAAATTTCTCCATTTTCCTTTCTGGACTCAGTTTCTGTTTGGCGCATCTAGCAATTGGTCGAGAGGTGCAAGCGAATCGCTGATTGCAACAGTAGGTGATACCTGAAAGCCGGAAGGAAGAAGGGCGTGACAATTTGGATCTTCAAGACTTGGGATGGCACCTACCGTACCAACAATCGAGGAATAAGCTTCGTGGAGAAGATCTTCGGGCGAATCATTGTTGGACGATATCTTGGGAATCCATCGATTGTTCGTCGCAAACTAATCAAACAAGCTTCCGAAGTGGCCACTCATGCGTGGACAACATATTTATGCTGAAGCGGGTCATCGAGCATGCATAGACAACTCCCAACAACGCTGTCTACGCAACATCCTCAAAGTGCGATGGTACCACCGGGGCTTTCGACCAACGGCCTGAAAAAACTATCAGATAAACTCAGAGACCGACAGCTGGTTTGGTCTGAAAAAAACTACTGCCCTGAAAGAGAATGGAGGCCATTTCAAAACTGTTCTCGCACGGGAATTGCCAACTGATGGTAGATGCGTGGGAGAAATACAAAACACTGAAGCACATAGCAACTTGCAACGACGAACCTACATCACTTTTGCCCAAGCTGTGAACGTTGGCCAATTCAATCTGACCATTTCCTAAGGTCATGAGTCATAAATCTTTGTTTTCTATGTTGCTCAATGTCTGATTGTCTTTGATGACTATGGCAGAGCAACAACAGAGAGTTATATCGAGAATGAAGGAAACCCAACTACAAACCAGAACCAGCAGACATGATTAAATCTGTCTGCCATTCCGCGTAATTTCAGAGCGGAGCTGCTCATGGCTGAAAGAATTAAAAATTTAAATAAATATTGGCTGACATAATTACGCTGAAAAAAATAATACAGCTGCTGCGACCGCATGGTCAACACTTGAAATGTGCAGTGCATTAGCGCTTCTCAGACTTGCACAATCATGTTATACTGATCGAATCGAAGACGACACACGTCACGCCATGAATGACATGCATTTCCATAAATTTTTAAAGGTAATCTATTCTTCTCTTCTCCTTTCCTTGATCTTCCCTTCCCTTCTTTTTCAGCTGCCGTCATTTCTGACCAGGAGATTAAGCATGTGACGAAACTTCCTCGCCATGCATTTATCACGGATGCCAAATTATCCACAATAAATCAGTCCAGTAATGAAATTCACAAATGGGAATATGAACGGGCGTTTCTGCCGAGCATCTAAATGGATGATCAGCAGAAATAATATGAAGTAGTTCTCGATTGGGTGCTGGTTATGAACCAGATTTTGTAACTCGCTAAGCAGTTCAGTGGTAATCATCTGTTGCTCAACTTTTCGTTCCACCTTTAGCCTCTGTATAAGATATTTGAAAGATGAACCGGAGAGGAAGCCCTGATTATTCAGTTCACTAATATGTATCCACATGAAAATAGATCTGTATCATGTGCCTGCTTGCACAACGTGAAAACGTAAATAAAAGACTAGGATTCTTTGGATTCTAGGAGGAGCTTTCTTTTCATATGCTATGGACAATTTAGCTTAACGACAATCTACTTGGACGGATAATTCTTTAGCACGACAACACCTAGTTCACATCAAGCAGATTTTCAGTGGATTAAGCTCAAAAAAAGTTTGTGCATCGTTTAGAAACAGCATGCTTCAAAGATCGTCGCTAAAGAGTTGTACTGAAATACGGTAATTGGACATTTTGAAAGTGATCATTATTCATTCATTGTGAGAAGCTGATAGCTTCACTGGAGAAGGGAACGAACTTAGAGTTATTGATTTTTTGTGTTGTCAAAAATTCTGTTTAGTTGATACTTGACATACTCTCTGATACGATTACTTTACGGCTGCAATTTGCCTTGACATAAGTGATAGCTGACGCAATCAGCATAAAAAGTAACCTAAATAACACGGTCACTGTTCGAGGACCAGATTTCATGCCGTATTCCCCTGTTCCTAATTGCCTGGGCGAGGCACATACACAAACGATAGCTACATGATATTTCAGAACCAGCAGTGAAAAGGGCATCTCAGATGATTTTGTTCGCTAGACCCAACTCTCGCCCATTAAAAACAAAGTTCTAGGAGCCAGTATTGGTCACGTGCTACCACAAATATCTGGATATGAAAATACGTCCATTAGATGGCGCATAATTTATCCAGGAGCAGATTTCGCGGCGTTAAGATGCACTGTCCCTTTGCTTCTAGTTTCCAAGGGAGCCATTTAGGCAGAGCACGGAGACATGGTATTTGAGAACCTGCAGTTCCTGGTTGCATTATTTTGCCATCGAATTATTTCGTTTTCTAGAGCAGTCTCGTGTACATTAAGGAAGACGTTTCAGGAGTTGATACTAATTGAAAGAACGAGATATGCGACATTAAGCACACAGGGAAATCAGTCAAGTTCCTTTGACGGACAGGTCTGTCCTTATCTTTTATCACTTAAAGATTTGCTGCACTTCCTAAACGTAATCACTCAGTATCAACGCTCAACAGCATTCTTATGATGTTCAAGGAATCGTGGTTCCTCTACCGTGTTTTCGCTACCTGGTGAGGAGAATGCATCTCAGCTGATACTCTTATCATAAGTTTTATGCAAGAGTGAAGGCAGATTTAGAGAAGCAAAAAAGTTTAAAGAACGATCCAATACATCACCGTATTGCTGGCATTTGTAACAAGGCACTTCAGACTTCAGTTATTCCTTCGAAGGACTGTTGATATGACAAGGCTCGATAAGCCTCCGACCACGACATTCTAAATGTCACCATTTGAGAGTCAACTTACTTTTAGGTCAAGAACTCGTCAGCCATTTGTTAAGTCCCTGGGGGGGAGCGGTCAAGTCAAATCCAGTGCGCCTTAGGTAAATTGAGCGCAGGTATTGTCGCATATTACAACCAAATTTGTGAAGCTTTTACCTTCAAGAATTGGGGGCCATTAGGAAAACCTCCTGTAGGTGTTGCTTGCACAAGTGGCAAGAGATCATAGGCTTTGAAAATGAATCAGGGAATGGAACTTAATGCCTCATGTCATCTGGAGCGGTCGAGAAGGTCACAAGGTATGGTTTGACAATCGGTCATTTGACGGACATGCCTACCATTAAAACAAAGCGTCGCAAGCAGCTCAAGGACAGATATAACAACTATTCCTATGCTATTTACAATTGTAAATTTTTTAAAATGCCATATGCCGTATCAGAAGGTTTATCAGTGGAAGCTACTCAGCAATTTGCTATAAGGGGCGTTTCGGTTAAGTTAAGGGTCACATGATCCGAACTGGTAAAGTTCGTTTCGATCGCGCTCTTTCTGTCTCATTTAGTAAATTTTTGTTTTCTGTTGTTCCTAACATTCTGGAGGAAAGCAAGATCCCTTATGCTGACTCTTGAGCCATAAATGGTTCATGTTGCCACCATAATGGTGCAGTTGAACTGTTTGTCCTCTGCTGCATGTAAACCCAACCATGAATTCGGCACTGCTTTGATTACGTCATGAAATGGCATTCGAATCGAAATCGTTCGGTCGTTTAACTCCTCTGCAGCCTGAACATGAATTCAAACTTCAGCAACAGGGGTCGCAGATGTTGGAAGAGATATCCACCATCACCTCACTTCTGTACCAGTGAAAAAGGAGGTATGATTGCAGCAACTGGAACTCGTCATTCTGCAGTCGTCGTCATCTAAGGCCAAGCTGGGGTTCTGCAAATGAAGATGTTGAACCAGGCATAGACAATTCCAAGCTTCTGGCCTGCAGTTTTCCTTGGACAGCCGCTTGCCGCTCATCTCACAGACTCGTTTTCCATTTTCCGTTTTTACAAAACATTGCACCATTGATTTGGCTTAAAATGCCTCCAAGGCTATCTTATTTTATTTACGCAATTTAAACACAAACAGCACTCATGTGCTATTCCATCTGATAGATTACGCGCCTCCCCCAACGCAATGAAAGGCTCCATGTTTCGACGAAATTAGCAGTAATGTTTTTCCTTATGTTTTATCTATGGATTGCACTAAGAGTTTAAATAAACCTTAGATGCTCATGAGCACTTCCCGTCCATCGATGTACCATGAAGCAAATCAGCATTTCCCGTCGGTGTGACTGGATGAAAGAAGTTACCATAGAACAATGGTAAGATTTTTGAGAAACGATCTGAAATGTTCCTCAAGACAAAGAGGCCATTACGGCTTATTGTGATACAGACTAAATTTAATTTAAGCTAATCGCAATTCGATGGTACAGGGTAGCTTTAATTGGTCTATAAAATCAATAAAACAGTGTTCATAACCGCCGTATAAAATTTAAATTGAAAGCATGGCCTTGAGAAGAAGATCGAATCATTGATAAAGTCCTGATCAAACAGTAGCATCCTGTTTCAGCCGATTTCGGAAAGATGGCAAAGAAAAGAGAATTTTGAGGATCGTTTAGGTCGCTGTTTAAACCCGTTGCTTTCTTATGCCTGTTAAACGCTAAAAATTATCGTGGCAAGCAAAACACGAGTTCTGACGAGCAGCAGAGCATTCTTTCCATGTCGACCAGCTTAGATGTGGAATTAGAAGGAGAAGCAGGAGAAGAAAATGGAATAGAAGAAGTACTCATTGGCTTGGCCAATTTCAAACACTATCAACGTCAATCCCTTCATTTCATAATTTTTCAGTTATGCCTTATTTGAGCTTTCCAATGCTTGCCATGTGCACCTCACGCCAACATGGCTTGAACAGCATGTTTGGTTGCTTATTTTAAAACGGTTGCGCATATGAGTGATTTTGTTACTGACAGCGAATGAGAAGGAGTGTGTATAACACTGGCCAGACGAAGATTAGACGATGGTGGAGATAAACGAGAAGTGAATAGATTTCATTTAACTTATGTTATCGAAATATATAGTCACTGAACCCTTATCACACGTGACGTGATATCAAGATGTTGCATAGACCTACAAGTTATCTGTCCATCTTCCATCTATCAGCATATCTGTATTTGTTACGATCTACACTTGCACACCGCACTGATGTATTTTCTCCATCATAAACGTTTGGTGCTGTTCTTTCGCTAGTCATGTGTTCGCTTCGAATCCTTGGAAGAAGCAACAGCGCTGATTGGCGGTGAGTCTGAATTTCGGTGTGGTTTTCAAGGCATCGCATGGATTAAAACGAGGATCGAGGTCACGTGTGTCCTCAGGGCTTTCATACACGGCATTGACAGAGCCCCAGTGCCTGTTGTCGTTCATCGCGTAACGACCAGAAACACGACAAACACCCCGACGGACGATCTGCTTCAATTAACTGTGAGCGAAATTGAAAAACGGTCGTCGGACAGCGAACTGAAAGCGACAATTCAGCCTTTGGCCAAAAAGCAAATATACAAACTTGTACACTAAGAGTTCCGCCATTTGATCGATTGAACAGAGGCAAATCCGACATGAGTTCGACGGCTGGCTTGAAACAAATATTTGACTGATTCGCCATTCGCTCGACGGTTCACAAGATCCAATCGGTTCGATCCGGTCTGCGGAAAGCCACAAAATATATTGACCCAATATTGAAAATTGATGGCGATGTAGACAATGTCTAAAAACCAATGACATTGTGACAAAGCGAAAAATGTATGACCATGGTCAGTTCATGGCAATTTGTCAACGAAACATTTCTTGCTTCCTGATAACTCGCATGATTTGCTTTCAGCATGGAAGTCTCGAAACTTTTACCTCGTCAAGACTTACGTCGTTGTTCCGAAAGTAATTTTGGCGTTAGCTGCGTCACATGATCCCAAACTTTGAGATAGTTTCTTAATTCGACGCATTTGCTCTTATACTGTATCTGTGCATTTTATGCACGTATTTTATTTCAATTTTAATAACATTTTTTAATGTGTTTTACATAACGTTTGTTGCGAAGCTGTGTCGTATGAGTTGCATACATCTTCATCATCATCGTCACCTTCATCAGCGTGCTTGAGTGGGGTGAGCAGACAACGTACAACTTTAAGTACCCTGACCTTCGCATGATATACCTCGAAATTGTTTTGTACAAAAGAGCTAACTAGTATCTTCGTAACCCAGGAAATAGGGCTCAGAAACCGTAATTTTAATCTACAGCAGATTCACCCATACAAAGATTCAAATACTGGGGAAGAAATGAGTCGTTCGTTGTGCAGCTCGAGAGTAGGCCGTTGGTCGGTAAGCCGTCCATAAAAATTTATATGTACTTTGCCTCTGTCAGGTCAGCGCTGACGTATCGCATGGGGACAGTTGCTCTAATGAATGAGCAAACAGCGAACAGTGGCCCTGGATTCGATAAACAATGAAGACTATATGGCAGGACCACGTATAGGCGCGATTCTATTAATTTCCAGACGCGAGAGATCTCCTTTCATGCAAAAACGAGGAAAATGAGATTGACCCTCTTAGAAAAACTGGTTGAGCATGATTCCGTGACTTCAGGTCATACGCTAATGGTGCTAGAAGGGAAATAAGGTAAAGGCAAATCTGGTTTAGAAGAGGAATTGTATATTCTACGATCCGACACTCGGTGACTTACAAGAAAGGTGTTGAGAAGTTGCGAATGCAACCTACATCATAATTCTGAGGAGTTCTGCCTATGTAAACGGCTTGAGTCGATGGTCTCAGCAAACATGCACACAAATGCGCAAAATGAGAGCCTAGGAATCGAACCTCATGATCTAGTCCTTCGATTATACTTTCTGCTCTCCTCCACAATGTACCACATATAGTTAACCATGCCATGAACATTCAGTGAAAACGATCAATCAAAATGAAAGTTTCGCCGGTTACGGAACGGACAGATGCGGATGGCATATAAGTGCTAAATAACAATTGGCAACGATATCAAATGCATAGACCATTTCATTTTTAAGGATAGGATTCTATTTGCTTTCTTCTCACGCCTGTGTAGCGCATCGACTTTGTAGCTTTTTGTTGAAGGATGACAACCACCCTTTACTCGTGAAGTTCGAGCGATGAGTCCATTTGCGTTCTACTGTCAGAAGTCAGATTCACTTCAGCGCGTACTGAGGTTCATAGCAGCTCAGTACTGATCTTCCAGTCCAATAGTCGAAGGAGTTTAGAGAGTAGAAACGTGTCATTACAGTAAGTTTGCAGTAGTATTAAGTCTTTTAGTTTAAGGTACTTTATAGTTACGCTATGTATTGTCTTTTTCGAAAATACTGATGCGAGTAGATAGCAGGTCATCATGATTTTCTTCGTTTCTGGTTTCTCTTTGTTCCATTTACCAATGTTTCTTCTTTTCTACCTGTACTATTCTAAGTCATTTCCCATCTCATCCTACCCGTTATCATTTCCCTCATTTTTAAGATTCTGGCTAAAAATTGCTGAAGAATTATCAATGATAAGGCAGTAGGCTGCAAGTGCTACTGAGATTATCCTGTTTGCTTCTTTTCCTTATCCTGTTTAACTTATACACTTCCTGATATCGTCTGCTTTCAAGGTCACTGTTATCAGTTCTCGTCGAACACTGATTTAGTGAATTAACATCCCTCTCAAAAGTTAGTCGGCGACCTTCGATCCGCTTCTCATTCTCGTGTCTCCATAGTATTCACTTATGCCTGGAGACGGCCAACTACTGACTTGGCAAGTTGGAAATATTGTCAGGTTTGATCACTAACTTTCTCAGGTGACAGCGAATAAGACAGTGTTAAAGTTTTGCAAATTCTTCAGATACCGTCCGAAATCAGTCTATGCTTCTACCGTTATAGGATACGGCAATGTGGCTCCAATGACCAGGGAAGGACGCGTGTTCTGCATCTTCTACTGCTGCGTTGGCATACCGTTGATGCTGGTGACGATGGCAGATTTGGCGAAGTTCATGTCTTCCGGCCTGCTGTTCGCCTATGTCCGATATCTGAAACTTAAACAAAGGGTCAGACAGGAAATGACCAAGCGTCTGAGGAAGGCGTCTGGCTCTGAGTTGAACGGTTCTCTTAGAAACTTGAACGAAACCGAGGGTTTGTTGTTCACCAATTTCGATCGAGTGTCGTTCGTGCAGCTGCACGCCACCGTCATTCTGTTCATCCTTTGCGGCTACATTTGCTTGGGGGGCGAGGCGTTCCACCGCATCGAGTTGTGGCAGTACGTCGAGTCGTTGTACTTCACTTTTGTCAGCATCCTGACGATTGGCTTCGGTGACATGCTGCCCTGGAACAAGCAGTACCATTGGTTCACCGTGTTCTACGTGTTCCTAGGTGTGATAATAGCCACC